GAAAAGAGCACCAGTGGAGCCTGCCCCTTACTCCCAAAAAGTATGCATGTTGACATTGTCCAGGAGAGAGAAGTCAACAAGGAGCACAGTAGCATCCAGCTGCGCCCGATTGGGAAATTCAGAAATAGCAATTCTAAGCGAACATAAAGAACAGTTGTCGGGTTGTTTTCACTCGTGAACCACCCTAGGCTTTGTCCGGCGGCGCGGTGCGACTGGGAGTACCACTCCGCCGGCCCGTTTTTGCTGGCGTCCGGAAAGCGAGGATACGGGTGGTGGTGGTGAGATGAACGCTGGGAGGCGGGAACTGTGGAGATGGTGGTGGTGAGAGGAACGCTGAGGAGGCGCGCAACAAGCAGGATGGACACGGCCCCTTCCTCCCCCTGACTTTTTTGGCCCGGAGTTTGCTTTGCGGCGTTTTTTGGGTGGCTTGAACCCCCTATGGCATTCGTCGGCGGGACGAGGTCGGACCATAGCATTTCCTGCTTGGCAGGTTGGTGTCTGCTTAGTGCTTCGTTCGCTGGTGAAAGGGCTTCGCATGTTGGTGAGGCTGTCATGGCTAGTGGGGGGAGGGGGGAGGTTGCTTTCCTCCCATGAAGACGGAGGGGGTGAGTTTGGGCGACGAAGGTCTTTCCGGTTCTTTAGTGACAGCGGGCCAACGCGATTGACGTAAAGTGGAGGAGGAGGTTCTTTTGCTCGGTCTGTTTATCACGAAACAGGCGGTAGGTGCCGGTTTCATCTTCAGCTGTTGACATCACGGGATTTTGAGATGCGGACATCACGAGAGGCTGTAGTTGCTTTTTGACTTCAATGTTTACTGACATCGCATGAGGTTGCTGCCACGTCTCTATTTTGATTTGGAGTTAAGAGTCTGTGATTGGGGCTGTGTCCTTTATGTATCACTGTTCGTTCCTTGATTTGCCATGATTTTCCCCCCTTGAGATATCGTAATTGCGATTCTCCGTGTAGATTCAAGTGATAGATCATTTGTGGCTGATTTTTCCTGAGCTGTGGTTGTTTTTTCTGATATTCTTTTAGAGGTGGTTTTTTGAATGATTTCGCTTTTATGATTGTGATTTGTTAAAAAGTAGAGTCTGATTCATGTGGTCTTAGTGTTTTTGATTGACCTGGAAACTTTTTTTCTGAGCAAGATTCCTAATCTGAAATTCGTATTTTCTGAGCAAGATTCCTAGTCTAAAATTCGTACTTTCTGAGCAAGATTCCTAATCAGGTCTTGGTATCATAGAAGGAAACCAAAGCCTCACAAGTTAAATGATGGATCATCAAACTATTGACTAAACCTGGTACAACATGGACGAAACTGTCTTTGGATAGTATCAGGGGCTTAGCGCCAACAGCCACACCAGCAAATATGTCCGGTCTGTTATGGGCAATGAACAAGGAATGGAGCCCAAGCACAGGGCGAAGGAATCAATTGAAGAGGAGCCTGACAGCCTGTCCAAACAATGTCAGGCCCCCTTCACCTTATTGGACCGCATTGCTACGGATATGGGGTGAAAGGTCATGCCAAAAAAGGCGGGTAGACCCAAGTCCAAAGACAAGGTACCGAGGCAACCCCCGTTTGGTAATCCGTGGGTGAGAGACGAAAGTCGTCACCCACTATCCCTTAAGCCTAGAGGACGGAGATGGCTATATTGGGATTAAACATGGAGCTTGGAAAGTGAGCCATCTGTGGTGGGCGGAGGAGAAAAAGAACTGGGTGCCAAAGCAGGAACTTGCCTTCCAGCTCAAAGGATGTCACTGGCAAGATGAGAATCTACAATCCATTATCAACTGCATCCCAGAAGACTGGAAGGAATTGTTGAGCGAAGCCTCAACCTGGAAATCTGGTGAATGGGGAGTGAGGGTGCAGGATTTAACTCCCTCAAGGGCCTATCAATTTTCCCATAAGCAGCAAGGGTCGGATACACTGGCTGTGTTTACCTCTTTCCCAATTACCTTCTCAACGCAAGCTCCCCCCATCTATTCTGAACAAGGATGTGGAAAGAATAGCCCTAAACCCATTTGTGCTCAGAAAAGTACGAGCGATGGGGTCATGGCCAAAAACAATCTTCAGAATAGATATGGCCATTCAAGACTTGGAATTTGATCCAGCAGAGTGAGCTTGGACACCAGGCAGAAGCAGAAGCCTCAAAACGAATGTTCACATCCAGGAATACACAGTCAAACTGAGATACAAACTACTACTTAAACCACCAGGACCTACCAGTTGTCAAGGCCCGTGGCTCAGGCTACCGGTAGCCCGATCGTTCCCGAGCCTCAGACTTTATTGCCGAGCCTCGGACAACCGGTAGTGCAGAACGGAAAAAAAAAACAAAAAAAAACACCAAACTCGGTGTCAGACACTGGCTGACGCCGCCTCTCTCTCTCTCTCTCTCTCAAAACGATAAAATGAGAATGAATCTTCCGCGTTAGAGAGAGAGAGAGAGGACGCCCTCTCTCTCTCTCTCTCTCGTTCTTCCCCCCCTTCCCCCGCCCCGCCGCGCCCTCTTTTTCGTTGCTAGTTTACACATTTTCGACGCCATTTTTTTTTGTTTTTTTTTGCGCCCGTTTTTTTTTTTTTTTTTTAGCGCCCGTTTTTTTGGGTCTACCGGTCGCCGGTCGGTGGGTACCCCGCCCAACGCGGCGCGTTAATGGCCGCGTCGGATTTCTCAAGCAGGGCGAGGTACTGGAGGCTTAAGACAAAGGATCCTGATCCAACAATCAAAAACAGATGGCAGAAGTTAATAGGTCAGGACGCCAATCCGATCTCACAAATATCATGAAAAAAATTCAAGTCAATCCGTTCGGTCAAAATCAGAAGCCTCCAATGGCTCATCTCATGCGTGGCTCTACCGGTCAACCAGTGGTTACATATTAGAAGAAGTAAGAACGACCCTAACAGTTCGGACTTATGCGTGATATGTTCGGAAAGGGAACCAGAAGATATGCTACACTGCCTAACGCATTGTAGAGAGGCGACAAAGTATTCGGCTAGGGCTTAGTCCCTCTGGGACCCCCTCTTCTCGACTCCCCTCCCCGAACACCCCATCCAACTCCGCCTATGGACTAACATCCCAGCTCAATTCCACAAGACAGAGAAAATGTGGTTCGGATCGGAATGATCAGAAAGGTAACGCTGTGGTCCATCTGGAAGGACAGGTGCTTCAGAACCATTGCGGGACTATCAACTCCAAGGGAGAAGGTATGGGCGGAGATGAGAGGACCTTGATTCAGGCAGAGATTTTTCTTTGAAAGTGGCATAAGAAGAGACACTCCATGCCAGATGACGAAGAGCAGCAGAGGAGAATCAAGGCAAAGTTTACTAAGGTGAGGCTGGCAGGGGGCAAAGTAGCAGAGACAAATGACTTCCGCATACGGTGGAAAGACTGGCACAACTCAGAAGCGGGGTGGAGAAGGCAGAGATCTCAGCCAGCGGAAGGACAAGATCCATCACAGGCCACGTAATCTAGTATGGCAAACTCCCAGACTGCGTCTTTCGTAGCTTCTATACCTTTCTTGTTCCTTATGATCAATCTGGCAGGTTTATGCAGTGGACCTGAGAGGAAAGGTGGACGCAAGGCAAGCTGACAGTCAATCCTCCACGATGCTGGAGTAATCAATGCTGGTCAGGGCTCCTTCGCCCAGACGGAAGGACGCACAAGTGTGTTTCATGATGTAATATTTTATTCCGACTTGCCGGTGGAATAGGAACCGGACTGACGCTTCCCAGAATGGATATGGAGCCAGGACCATAAGGACCTGTTTGATGTTTTGAAAAAAAAAAAAAAAAAAAAAAAACAATGCCTGGTTGAGCATAACTGTGTGGTTACTTATGTGTGATGCATCACAGAAAAAACATAGGTATTTTTGTGGTTACTAATGCCCTTTGTGGTTACTTATGCCCAACCCCACATTAGTAACCACACAGAAGTAACCACACAGAAGTAACCACACAGAAGTAACCACACATTAGTAACCACACAGAAGTAACCACACAGAAGTAACCACACAGAGGTAACCACACAGAAGTAACCACACATTA